TGGCTGGTGCTAGTGCATATGCCCGCCTTTATGACTATGAACGCATTCGAAAGGTATACTCTCGTACAGTCCTTTCGGTCACAATGGAAATGAGAAGGAAAAGAGGGGAAAAACACTCTTACTATCTTTTTATTATCAGCTTCTAATATGTGCATTCATAGCTATTATTTCCTTTTCTGTGGAATTAACAGGTATGTGACAAGCAGAAAGCCATTCTTCTGGCAGATATGGCACACATCAGTGGACTGGTTGCTGCTGGTGTTATTCCATCTCCTTTTAAGTATGCAGATATAGTGACAACTACAACACACAAGTCACTTCGTGGACCGCGTGGAGCCATGATCTTTTTCAGGAAAGGCCTAAAAGAGATAAACAAAAAAGGGCAAGAGGTGAACTGAAAAAAAATGATTTTACTTGATGTTCTTGCTTTTCACTTTCATTGTTATGTGCAGCAAATTATCAAATTCTCTTTAAATAGATATGGACTAACTGTGATCATATAAACAATTGTGTTAGGTTATGTATGATTTTGAAGATAAAATTAATGCAGCCGTTTTTCCTGGGCTACAAGGTGGTCCACACAATCATACCATTTCTGGTTTAGCTGTTGCACTCAAACAGGTATGCATCCACCAAGATCCTTGCTTTTTTTTTTCCTTTTTAAAAAAGGGATGATTAATGGTAATCCTAATGGCAAATTAGTTAACAGATTCGATTAATTAATTAATCTTCAACCTATTCCTTCCTGCTTACCCTTTGTTGGCAATCAAGGATCATGTTGGCATCACAATTTAGTCCTTAAGCCCATTTTTCTTTAACAAAGTTCTGGGGTCAGTGACATCCATTAGTTGTAGGGCTCTGCGTACAACTAAAGCATTGGTCTGCATATATCCTAGCATCTAAACCACTTCCCAGTTAGATCCTTAAAGACTTCCAAAAGCAGACTGCCACCTCAGTTTGGGAACAATGTGGGCAAGGATAATTATCTGATCTTTTGGCTATATAATCATCATTCTCTGACTTAAATCTATAGTTTCTGCTTAATTATTCCCATTGAGAATCATTTATATCTTGTAAACTTAAAGACAGGTAAATCTTGTGCTCTTGAATCAGCTGATTCTTTAGCAAAACTTTGTTCTGAGATGCATATGAGCTCTTGCGCTATGCATATATTGAGTTTATCTTCCCAAAGTTTAGATGTTGGCATCGTTGGATCATGGTGTCTCAAATTTTTTGAGAACAACTTTTTTAAACAAATCTCTAAGCATGTTATCCCTTCCCAGATAAATACAGTTGCTTGAGTGAATTTAAATCTCAAACTAGGAAGGTATTAGAAGAGATTGCCAACATTTTGAAGATCAAAAGGGAGAGGTTAATTGGTGAATATGCATTTATGCCCAAAAAAAAAGAAAAATAAATACACCATTGTGCACTGTTAGATGTGTTGGTGTCTTTAATTTCGTGCCATTGGTTTAATCTGAGAAAAGAGCCCATATTTGGTTTGGATAAGATCAATGTTGCCTTGTTTCTAAAATAAAGTTGTAAAAGGAGCTTGTAAATTTACATTTCAGACTGATGTGAAGTTCCAATGTCTTTCTGTATAAAACTTAACTGTAAAGCCTTAACCTCAGGAACCAAATGTTTCCACTATCTAAGATCAACCATAAGATATCACTCTTGATCGTTTTTAATTGCTTCACATCAACTTCTGGCTTGATTTGAACTTTTTGGCTTATTTACCTAAGTTATAGCCTAAGACCTCTCGCACAGGATTCCCTTGTTCTAGATGGAAAGTTGGGAGTTCTTAACTACTCAATTTAGAGCTCATGAAATTGAACAAATATTCACAGTAAGTCTATGCAAACAATAAGGTTCAAATTATCATACATTAACATCTGCTTGCTTGCTATCAGATTTTAGTCTTTTCGGCTAAGACAAAGTTGTCTGGGATTTCCTGAGTTGCTGAAGTTTTTTAAGCCACATGTTGTATTAACTAGACCAGTATTTTCCTCTGAGCAACTGCAGGCCACCACTCCAGAATTCAAAGCTTATCAGGAGCAAGTACTGAAGAATTGTGCTAAATTTGCCGAGGTATTGTTGCATGATTTTGGTTCTTTTGTTTTCAGACTTTCAGTGAGATAGTACTTTCTTTAGGTTTGACTGATAGCTTGGCTATTGTTTCATGTAAATTGGTGCAAAAGTTTTCTATAATCTTTCCACAATTTCATATTTAGATGTGACTGATTTTATCCATTTAGGATACTGATCTAGCAATACGATGTTTCAGTGCTTGGTTGAAAAAGGCTATGAGCTTGTATCTGGAGGAACAGATAACCATTTAGTCCTGGTGAACCTTAAGAACAAGGTAAAATGGGTCTAACTTTAGATCATTACTTTTATTAATCATAAGTGATTAGAAAGTGCAGCAACTCAATCATAGTTCTCCCAGGGTAAGCTCTGTGGTGTATCATGACTTTGTAATTGGATTTCTTTAAATTTGTAATTGTCTCTAGCATTCTGTTCATAGTCGAGGGAGACGAGACATTTATGTAAATTTTTATTTTCATTTGTCTAAATCCATGTATACTGTAATTTTTCTATCCAGGAGAATATTTAACTTTATGGCTTGAATCAATTTACAGGGAATTGATGGATCTAGAGTAGAAAAGGTGCTGGAGTTGGCACATATTGCAGCTAACAAAAACACAGTTCCTGGTGATGTATCTGCCATGGTTCCTGGAGGCATCAGGATGGGTACAAGCCTTTACTTTTGGGTTTCTCTCAATCATGATGTTTGGTAGAACAATGTTTTTACAAGCTCCTTTTCACTGATTCAGGAACCCCAGCCCTCACATCAAGAGGATTTGTCGAAGAGGATTTTGCAAAAGTTGCCGACTTTTTTGACATTGCAGTTAAATTGGCATTGAAGATCAAGGCCGAAACTAAAGGTGTATATTCATTTATTCTTATTCTCATTTCTGTTTGACTTTGGTTTTAAGATATTTCATAGCTTGCGTTTGGTTATATAACTTTTAAAATTCTTTCTTTGCCTTTTAAATGCAAAACAGGTGGATCAAAGCTTAAGGACTTTGTAGCAACTATTCAAACTGATGCTAACATTCAATATGAAATTTCAAAGCTCTGTCATGAAGTGGAGGATTACGCAAAGCAGTTTCCAACAATTGGATTTGAGAAAGAGACGATGAAGTACAGCGACTGAGGTGTAAGTTTTATATGAGAAGGTAAAGTTATAAGATGCATACTCAATTTATTAATTGTAGTTTGACTTTTTTTCATCTACGGCACATCATACCATGTGCACTGGCCTGGTACCAAGAAGATGAAGCCTTCAAGCCTTTGCCTCACTTATTGCAATATGAGCCTCTCAAACTTCATAAGTTGCTTAAAGGCCTCAAAGTGAAATCAAAATCAATGGCTTCATTTGTATGAGGTTTTAACATGTGAAGTGCAAATTGCAATATCATAAAAATAAAAGGAACATTAGTGTTGACTATTATTTTTCAGATGTCCATATAACCAATGCCGTAAGTAGAAATATTAACATTTAGTCTCAATAAGAAGGCAGAAATTCTGTTGCTGGTATTATTTGCTTTCATTAGAATCTCCAGTAGTTGGATTTGCTATTACAGGTTTGGTTGTGTAGATCTTTTGCACAAACCAAAATAGATGTTGCCTTGCTGGCATCATAGGTTTAAACGGCAGGAGATTCTTCCAGTGTTTCTTTTTTTTATAGGAGATATATAGTTTTGTTCATGCAAGGAAGATAGCATGTTTATTCATCGCAAGTCTATTTCATTTTTGTTCTGATTTATAAACTGGAAAACATGTAGTGACAACAGTAGGATATTTTTGTCCCTCTCTTATTCTGGCGTTTACATGCAGAGATTGTGCATATTATGATGAAAACATGTAGTCACATCGGTTGTATGTATTTTGTGTCTATTGTTCTATCTTTTACATGCAGATATGATGCATATCACGATGATTTGTTCACGGTAGTAACACTAGGACTACATATGCTATTATTATAGGTTATTTTCATGTCTACAATTCATTGCTAAGATTTCATAGCTTTTCTGCAGAAAGCGTGATATTTTGCGGTTGGGATCGAAACTTGCCTGTCCTGCTATCACCTCAGTTGCAACAAAGTGGATGGAGGTGGAGGCTGAAAAGAGCTTGTGGATGTAGGAAGTGGGCAGAGTTGGAAATAAAGGCTGTTTTCCCTTGAACTTGGAATCATCATCATCTTTATAAGAAAGTTAATATGTTTTCTGTATTCTTTCTAATCCACAGTGCCAACTCGAAACAGTAAATTCTCGCATGAGTATTTGCATTCATCCAAGGTTTTAATCTTTTGTATTGAATTAGTCCATCTTCTGTCTATCATCATTTCCTTTGAGTTGTGAGGTTGTGGAGTCTGATTCTGCGTAAATTGGGTGGAATATTTGAATCCCATATGCCTCCCAAAACAAGATAAGATGATATTATATCCTATTGAAGGAACGCGGCATTCTCACTTCTAATACAATCATAGAGTAATTAAGAGCAGGCAACTGACTAAATTATGGCATTCTCCTACTGTGATTTCTAAACGAAGATAATTAAGAACTTAGGCAAACAAGT